CCCCAAAACCCCAAAACCCCAAAACCCCAAAACCCCACATAACAAATTCCAAGCAATATTACCAATTCTCTTTAATATTAATTTGAAATAAATTTACAAATACTGCCTTATTTTATCAGCCACAGCCTATGACTATTTAATTTCTATGAAAATGTCAAAACCTGTTTTTAAGATACTATTTAAGATCATAACCAATTTTATAATCATCTTTTTCAATCTAATCTAATCTGTCGTACAGTTCTTTTCTCTCTTTACTATTCTCAAATTTTTAAAGATATTCAATCGATTGAGTCTTAAATTCTTTTTTAAGCAATTTTTCTTTTAAAATGTTATAGTATTAGCCATACTCAATCTTTGTAGTAATCTTATCATCTATAACAAGACTCTTCGTTTCTTTTTAGCTCTATTTTAATTTCATGTATTCTCTATAATCCTCTATATTTATATTATTAGTCTGAAATCCCCTGATTTTTAGACTTACCTTCTTTTTATTTGATGTTAAAGTACATATGCAGAGCAGCGAATATATTTAGATGTATTACTGATAAAAATGGAGCTATAGCAATATGAATAGCATAAAAGTTTCTCAGCTTAAATATTCTAGATCTAGTAATCCTAACAGCTATTGGATAAGTTATAGTCCCACACATTGCAGTGATTGAAATAGGGACAAGAGTTCTTTAAAGAAATCTTAATGGCTGCTTATACTATTCATAGAAAGTTATCTTGTTATTAAATTATGAATTTAATTAGTCGTTTGCTGAAGTATACATTTCACCTCCAAGCTTTGAAATCTATGCTTGAGATTTTGATTCAAGAAGATTCGAAACATATAACCTTCTCTCCAACTTTTCATTTATCTATTAATCGTAGTCACTCTTTAAGTTCAATATCTCACTTTCTAGTTCTTCAAAATCTTTTGACATTTTATATTAATTTAATAGTCAATAATTCAATTTGTTTTAAATTATTGATAATGTAGAGGCAAAGGGGTTTTGGGGTTTTGGGGTTTTGGGG